GTTAGTACTTAGGTAAGTACGCGAAGATGCTCACTCATAAAATGCTATACTTAACGATTAAGCGTAGAATAAAATGAATCCTTTAAATTTACATGACTGTTTGTATGACCCATAAACTTTACTCTATATAGTTTATATGTTTCTTCGCATTGAATCTATGTTTCGTGCATTGATAGGATAATTGTTCCATAAACTATACATATTATAGTTTATATGTTTATTAATGTATTCAATTCTTGTTTTATACTGAAAAACTTTACAATATGTTGAAAACTTCCCTTATGCTCAACATTTTACAAAAGGGGTAAAATATCTAAGTGTTTTATAAAATATAATGATCTTTTGGTTGTATCAATCGCGTAAGTTTTTATCCTGATTAAATCATAAAATGTATTTGTGTTTTGCCTGTATCCTCCCCCTAAAATCGTTAAAAACGGTAAAATGGTAGGGGTATGAACTCACAGTTGGATGCGTTTATGTGCTGGACAACAAGACTGTAAATGAGGACCCTCGAGTTGTTGTGCGCGAAGTTTAACGGAATCCTAAATAATAATTAAACACATATTTGTATTTAAATTAGCGAATCATTAGTTAAAGTGTTAGAAAAACACTTGTTTTTGGTTAAGGAATGTTACTGAGACTCGATCGAAGTGGAAATGTGGGTTTGCAGCCAAGATTCACGATGTAGAGTAGTTTGTGGCCGTGAAGGGTTTTCGGCCGTGAATTATTCTCGGTCATGAACAGTTTTCTGCCTTGAAGGGTTTACAGTCTTTGAATGGACGGTCGTGAACTGATTTCGGCCCTTAAATATTTGAAGATTTGAAGGGTTTACAGCTGTGAACTCAAGAACAAAGAACGTTTGATTTGATGAAAGGATGAATGTTTGATGCTCCAAAACGAGTTCCAAGGTGAATTGCGTCATAGATGAAGAGAAAACTTGAGTTTTCGGTTGATGGTTTTAGAGAGAGAAAGTAGGTTTTCGGCTAGAAAAGTATAAATGAGGGTATGAACACGTATATATAGGCTGGGTTCATGGTTGGTGGTGGGGTCCACCCGGCCGTGAATGGTTTACGGTCGTGAACCGTTTGCGGCCGTAAACTCCGGAATGCACGCGACTTAGCTGATTTTTGATGAAAAACTTGATTTTAGTACCGACACACACACACACAGATATATATATATATATATATATATATATATATATATATATATATATCTATATATATATATATATATATATATATATATATATATACTCTAAGTTGTTCTCAACCCTTACAAGTTTAATAAAATAAATAAAATTCGAAATTTTTATTTAACGGATTTGACTTTCGTTGACTGAAAATGGTTCGAGTTGTCACAGGTTGTTTGTGAACAGTTAGAAGTATGATATTATTTAAGACAGACCATAGTGACATGATTATGGATTGAGATTATTATTGATCAGATTTAATGGAAATATTGGTATATGAGAATGTTTCATAATAGGAGATGATTGAAAATTCTACATGTGAGTTGGAAACTTTAATATACAAGAGAAGTACTCAAGGAGTATACCTTGAATTAGAACCGTAATTACGATGGAATTGTTTCTAGTAACAAATTTCCAGTGGGTATTCTGTAATATCAAAGACTCAGTCTTTAAGACTTTGGAATTTTGATATCATGGGAGATTAATGCATGTTAAGTTGGAATTAGATGTTGGATAGTGATAAGAATTTGGAATTGTGAAACGATCATCATTGGAATAATGTCCAGTTGATCTATTCACAAAGGAAGGACTATAGAGAGGCACAGTATGTATGTTCATAACATGGTGTGATTGATGTTTAATTCAAGTGGTTAGTTGATTACTTGAAGCATTATAGAATGAATAAAGTCGTAATTATTATGGTGATGAAATAATAGAGATTATTTATATTCAATAGTTTTGAGACCATAGTTAATTAGTTTATCATTGTGTTTCACTTTGTATGTTTTACTTCCTGAATGATTTGATTATTTGAATTCCACACTCGTCCATAGTTTTGGAAGTAGTGAATTAAGATTGTCATGAATTAAATTGTAGATTCTCTATGATGATTAGATATTGCAATAAGATTGCTACAATGTTTATGAGTACTTAAAAAATGGAGATTCTGAGTATTGGATAAACCTATGCTCAGAGAATTACTTCATGGATTCTAACACGAGTAATTATGAGACAATAATATATTTTATTCTTAAAGCAGAGATATATGAGTTGTAATTTCAAGTTGGTTTTGCATTGGTATTGCGAAACTGCATCAGTAACGTGATGTCATAGAACATAGTGTCATGCATGATTTGGTGAGTAAAAGATACAAGCATATAAGTTGAAGTATATTCGTTCCGTTTGCCCTAAAGGGAAAAGCGATATCTTTGGGCCCCTCGATGATTTGATGTCGACATCTAAAGTGCTTGGCTAAGCCTAGACTGAATTGATATGTTCAATTAGTAGTCTGTATTCAGTCGTCATAAATCGGAAAATCGAGAAACATAATCTTAGACTATGAGATTGATTTGAATCCATGTCTCATTTCCATACAATATCCTATAGAACGAAGGAATATCTGATCACTTATCTTAGGGCCAATGTCAGATTAGATCACAGTTCGACAGTGGCTTTGGAAAACACTCTTTGTTGTTTGGTTATACTTGTAATTATAGTTATAGACTTATCCAAGTGGGAAATAGTTAGATTAAAGTGTTTAAGCTCATAACTGAATTGGAATAAACTTGCAAGTAGAAGCAAAGTCCTTTTTGTGTTACCCTCATAATGAAAAATAGCTAGAAATAATAATAGGAGAGAGAAAGAAAAATAATTTGTTAATATATTATGTAATTAATATATTAATTGAAAATAGATAATTGATATGTTAATTTGTTATGTGATTAGTACATTAACATGAGATCAATAGTTAAATAATTGGTTTGTTAATTTATATGGTTAATAAATTAATAAGAAATCAATTAGAATTAATTAGTTATTAATCAAAATTAATCTAGAATTAATTTGAGATTAATTGGATTTAATTAAAGGTCCTAGAGGTGAATTGTAATTGTTCAGTAGTTGAACAAAATAAGCAATTCTAGAAACCTCCATGACATGGACGGTTTTGGAGGCTCCTCTAGGGTTTCCGGAAGTCTCCTGGTTGCATAAAAGGAAAGAATTTGAATTATTATTAAATTTATTATTTAATCAATTCTTATTCCGCTTTGTTTGCAGGTTACCTAAACTATAAATAGAACTCCAAGGCCATCAATTTTCATTCATGAGCTTCCTAAGAAGCATAGGAACGAAATTTATTCATGTTTTCTCTCTCTGGTCTTCATTTTAGGGTTTCTAGGATTTTGGGTGTGAGCCATTTGAGGCATTAGATTTCTGGTGCTTATTTTCCAAGGTTTTCAAGAAGGATATTGGTGAGATTATTTGCTACAATAATCAAGAGGTATGTAAACCCTAACACTATGTAAATTTCGATTATTATAAAGTTCCCTTAGGGTTCTTGATGTTCATAGATTATTGTTATCAATAGAAAAAACTTAGATCCAAATAGGTTACATGTGAACTTATAAGTTAAGTTTTTTCACCACATGTTTTAATTATAACTTATAAAACCCATCACTACATAGATTCATCGATTCATTATCATTGCCCTTCACTAGAAACTAGTATTCTAAAAATTCCTTTTACGAACTCAATTTTTTAAGTATCTAAAAGCTTTATGAAATAGAAGAGAAAGAATAGCAATACAAATACCCTAATATTACAAGTCCGAAACGTCCTTTCATTCTAGACTAGTCTTCGAAATATACTTGTCAGTTCAGAAAGTACGAGTGTCAGATTCCGAACAAAACTACTACTAACCACCGCCAACTTTGGAATGAATATATGTACTCCGAAATGACGCATTATGGAGAAAACTATTATTTTTAAGAAATTGAAAAAAAAAAATGATTATTTTCTTTACATATCTAAATTATTATATATTGTTAGCTTACTCAATTTATCCAATATTTTTTTCTTTAAAAACAATATGAAAGTATATTGTAACAATAATGATTGATAATCTTTAGGGTTAATTTTATAAATAATTTTATATGGTGAGTTTTTTTCGGATTAAATCTTAACTTAAAATAATAATAATAATAATAATAATAATAATAAAATAAAAAAAAAGCTTGAGTTTTTTATTTTCATTTTTTGAGAAAAAAACCCTCAACTTTTTTTTTAAAAAACGGCGGGGTTAGTGGTTAGAAGTTAGTATCAAGAAATTGTTCACGCCATGGTTAGAATTTGAGACTTCCAATCTAAGAGGCAAATCCTCTACCAATTGGCTAGTCCCACATTGGCAAAACCTGTCAACTTTTTATTTTATTTTATTTGTTTTCAAAAAAACTTTCAACCTTTTTATTGTTTCCGGAAATCCCTCAACTTTTTCTTTTAAAAAAATACCCTCACATTTTATAAGTATTTATTAAAAAAAAGTAGAAAGTTTTTGTTAATGAAAAAAATAAAATAAAATTTTAATTCGAAAAAAACCACTATGTAAAATGTTTTATATATGAGATTAACCTAATCTTTTTTCAAAAGAATTTGTTCATAAATAATTATTCCGAAGTTTTTTCTATTTTTTTTATATGGTTTTATAAATTTTATGAAAGATGCAAAATAAATAAATAAATAAATGCCGGTACATTAGTTTTACTAATTTTTACGAAAAGGTTCTGGACATTCCATGATAATTGGACACATCAATCGTCGATGATTGCGATATACTTTGAATTTATCTTTGATTCCTCTTCACTTCCCAATCCAATTACAGAAGTAGGTCCACTTAAAAGTCAACAAAAGAATTTGTCTACAACATGAATAGTGTTATAAATGGATATGACACAACACCATATTCATTACTCTCTCATATGCACATCTCAATTCCCACATATTTTCTATCCACGAAAACCAAAATATCGAACGCATGGTGGTGGCTCAGCCTTCTCGTTCTGGTTCCTCTGGTGGTGGTGGAGGGATGAAAAATACTGCTAGCTTGGGTCTCCATGTCGTCACAGGGCGGTGGTTCATGGTGTTCGCCTGCCTTCTCATCATGTCAGTCGCCGGAGCTACTTACATATTTGCTATATACTCCGGGGACATCAAATCCTCCCTTGGGTATGATCAAAGCACCCTTAATCTCCTTAGCACTTTCAAAGACTTGGGTGGCAATGTTGGAATCATCTCCGGTTTAATTAACGAAATCTCTCCACCGTGGGTGGTGCTCCTCCTTGGCGCCGCCATGAACTTCTCTGGGTACTTCATGATTTGGCTGGCAGTCACCGGAAAGATCGCAAAACCACCCGTTTGGCAAATGTGTTTGTTCATTTGCATAGGTGCAAATTCACAAACGTTTGCTAATACAGGAGCTTTAGTCACTTGTGTACAAAATTTTCCAGAAAGTCGAGGGGTGGTTTTGGGACTCTTGAAGGGTTTTGTAGGGTTAAGTGGCGCAATTATCACTCAACTATATCATGGTTTTTATGGGCATGATCCAAGATCACTCATCTTGTTCATCGGTTGGCTTCCAGCAGCTGTGTCCATAGTTTTTCTTCGAATTGTTAGAATCTTGAAGGTTGTTCAACAGTCAAATGAGCTAAAAACTTTCTATAATTTTTTATATATTTCATTAGGGTTAGCAGGGTTTCTTATGGTTATCATTATAACTCAAAACAAGCTTAATTTTTCGGAGGCAGAGTATGCTGCCACAGCTTCCGTTGTTGTGATTCTACTCTTTGCTCCTATTGGTATCGTGTTCAAGGAAGAATTCAAGCTTTGGAAAAAGAATCAGGAGGTGCTTCATCATTTTCCGGTGAAGGTAATAACCGAGAACCCAACCACAAGGAATGACCTTGTCACGCCACCGCCACCACCGCCGGAGAAAGAAGTTTCTTGCTGGAAAACCGTTTTTGCTCCACCAGAAAGAGGAGACGATTTCACTATCTTACAAGCGGTTTTTAGTATCGACATGTTGATACTATTCACCACCACCACCTTCGGCGTTGGCGGCACTTTGACGGCGATTGACAACCTGGGTCAAATCGGGCGGTCTCTCGGGTACCCAAGTACGAGTATCACCACCTTCGTATCTCTTGTGAGTATTTGGAATTATCTGGGTCGGGTCACATCCGGTTTTCTTTCGGAAATCCTTTTAGCAAGGTATAAATTTCCACGCCCATTAATGCTCACAATCGTCCTTTGTGTTTCTTGTGTGGGACATGTCATAATAGCCATGGGAGTACCAAATGGGCTCTACGTTTCATCTATCATAATGGGTTTTTGTTTTGGAGCTCAATGGCCATTGATTTTCGCAATCATATCTGAAATATTCGGGTTGAAATACTACTCTACTTTGTACAATTTGGGTGGTGGTGCAAGCCCCGTCGGAGCTTACATCCTTAATGTGGTGGTCGCCGGTGGACTTTATGACAAAGAGGCAGAAAGACAAATGAAAGCGAAGGGATTGGAACGAGAACATGGGAAAGATCTAACGTGTACAGGAGTTGACTGTTATAAATTGTCTTTCCTTATTATAACTGGTGCAACAGTATTTGCAGCTTTTATTTCGTTTATTTTAGTGATAAGAACAAGAAAATTCTACCGAAGTGATATCTACAAGAAGTTTCGGGAGGCAAGAGAGGCGGCAACCGCTCATACTGAGATGGTGGTGTCACCGGTAACCACCATAGAACCACCGATGCCATCACAAGCACCTCCACTGGAAAGAAAGAGAACGGAAGAAGACGTAAGTTGAGATATGTATAGCATGTTGTTATACTGTAAAAGGAAAACATTAAGAACGAGACGCAATGTATTGTAATATATAAAGCACGTTGAATTCCGATACAGTAGGAATCAATTTACGAAGTGATATTTGTATGCTTGTATCATTTCTATTAAAGGCAACTATTAGTCCAAGGAGAATTGTTTTTTTTTTTTTTTTGCAAAATAATTAATAACCAACTTTTCATAAACATTCATTCATTAGAAATAATTTAATTTCAGCGGTATTATGGTTTCTTTAATAAATCTAAATCAAGTTAGTTTATACCGTATACGGAAGGAACAAACAAAACCTAACCAATAGATATACCAATTTGTGAGAAGAGAAATCCATCGATTTTGAGGTTTGGAATGAATTGGACAACATAGTTAATGCTAGAAAACAAAAGATCAATAATTGATATGCCAAATGTTTGTTGTATTATTATCGATAGTAAATGAGACAAAGAAAGTTTGATTTCGACAATAATCTATCCTTATTCTATTATCATTATTATTATTTCTTTTGTGTTTGTTTGTTTGTACCGGGGACATAATTTTATTAAAACCCACACATGATACATAGTTAAGCCTAGAAAACATAGGCTCCGTTTGAAACCCGTCTGACCGGTTTGAGTCAGCGATTTTGGCTGACTCGGTCAGCCTGGAAGTTGTTTGATGTGTGCTGATTCGGTCAGCAGGTCTGGGTGAATTGGCTGAATAGGTCAGCTTGCAAGCTCCATCTGACTGAGAAAAAAAACCTCCCTACCCCCGATCTATTCTTCTCTTGGTGACCAAAAAAGAAAAACGGCAGCCTCATCTCTTCTCCCCTTCGACAGGTTCAATCACCGCAAGATCGCCACCTTTTTCCTTCAGACGTCGTCTTCTTCCTTCAGCCGGACATCTGCCCTCCTTCCGTCCAAGCTCCGTCCGTCTTCTCCGGCCAGAATCATCTCATCTTCTCCGGCTATAATCTTCAACACAGGTAAGCACTGAAATCTGAAAATCTCTTAAATAGTTTAGGAAATCAAAAAATGCTAGGGTATAACAAATACCATATGGATAATGGTTCCAAAGAAGGAACTGATTGTGATCGGTTTAAGATCTTAGTAGCCGGCATCGATGTATTTGTTCCCAAATAAATAGTTCTTAAGCATTTTGGACTTTTGGTTCTAGAAACATGTATTAGTTCTGCTATTCACCCCAAGTTTAGATTAGAATTTTTCTTATATAAATGACAAATTAATTAGAATTGTGATCGGTTTAAGAATTTTTGTTATTTAAATGACAAATTAATTAGAATTGGTTCCTGTTTCAACATAAACTCCTTTTTCTTAACATTTTCTAATTTCCTTTAAAATGAAAGGAATATAATGGAAATAAAGATAGAGCTAGATGACCCATTGTTTTAAGCTCCACTGTGCTTGGCAAATGTTATGAAATCATAATTTCATTTGTATATATGCTCCAATGTTATGAAATCAATTTTTTTTTCTTTTTTTTTTTGTGTATAATCTTATGTTCTAATGTTATGAAATCAGAATTTTTTTTTTTCTGTGCATAAGCTATGAAATTTTTAGAAAGTTGTTGACTTTGATTATGCTATTGTTATTTAGGATTATGTTGATCTCAATGGTATATAATTGTTTCAAGTTTAGATATTTATGTTAGCTTGTTATTTATGTTTTAGGATGTTGGTTTGGACCGAGAGTGAGGATAAAACATTTCTTGATGCATGTATCCATGAACTAACCACTCATGGTCGTGAGGGTTCTGGGCTTAAGGCAAGTTCATGGAAGACAATACGCGAAAAATTGATAAACGAACACGGTAAAGAGGTTGATCAGAAGCAAATGAGAAACCACTTTGACTATTACAAATCAAAATATGTTGCTTGGGTGAAACTGAAAAACAAAACCGGCAATATATATGATCCTATAAAAAATAAATTTAATCTGACCGATGAACAATGGAAGGAAGAGGGAAAGCTAATACTTTTTATAACAAATACTAGTATGATTATTTTTATAACAAATACTAATATTTACAAAAATTGTAAACAGTTGAACAAGTTCGTGATGTCATTAAAAACTAAACCTCTGATGTTCCCTGATCTTTGCACCCAACTATTTGAAGGCTCGACCTCAACCGGCTTTCAAAGTTGGGGGCCATCTTCTATACTCCCTCGTCCTGTAGAAGAGTTTAGTGCCCATGATTTTGATGATGATGTTCCAATGGAAACCTCAACACAACACATAGGTGCAAGTGAAGAATCTTTGGGGCATTCAAAAAATAAGGAAGTTGGTGGAAACAAAAGAGTTGGTGGGAAAAAAAAGAGATGCAAGGGCATTAGAAGTTGAGGATGAGATTGTCAAGCTTGCAAGGTCGTTAGTGGAAAAAAATGAAAGAATTGAAAAAAGTGAAATGGATAAGGATGTTGATGCATGTATGGAGAAATTGAACAAAATGGAATGGGGAGAAGAAGATGAAAGACACAAGACCGCTCTTTTGCTATTTAGTGAAAGTGCCGATGTTAGGAAAGTTTGGTTACGACTTTCACATACTAGTTGTGAGTCGTGGGTGATGGGTGCGGGTAGGAAGTATGGTTACCTTTGATAATGTTTACTAGTTTTTTTGTTGCATGACTTTTTGTTACTTGCATGACATTTGGATGTTATGTTTGATGACTTTTTTGGATGGTACTTTGGATGCTATGTTTGATGACTTTTTTTGTTACTTTGGTGATGTTTGATGACTTTTTTGTTATATGATATTTGTTACTTTGGATGATGTTTACTAGATTTTTTGGTGCATGAATATGTTTTACTTTAACATGTTACCTAATTGATTTTAACAGGTCAAATATGGTTTCTGATGGTGAAGTTGTAGCTTTTCTTTTACTTGTGATTTATTGGTTGAGGTCAAACCGGCGCAGAGTAATCAGAATTCATAGAATTAGAGATAACGATTCAAGCGGGTATGGGTACACGCAAGATTTGATGTACGGAGACCCTATACAATGTTACGATATGATGCGTCTTACACAAGAGGCATTTGCATTATTATGCAACCATTTTACCCAAAAAAATTGGTTGCAACCTAGTAGGACAATAAGCATTGAAGAGAAGATGGCTATTTTCTTACATGTTATAAGACATAATGAACGTTTTCGCGCGGTTAAGGGAATATTTCATCACTCCACACAAAGAATTCATCAATGTTTTCACGAGGTCCTAACTGCAATGATGTGTTTTGCAAAAGAAATTATAGTACCAACAACTCCTAATCCAACAAGACATAACTCAGAACGACATAGACGGTTAAAAGAGATTTTTTCCGGAGCAATAGGTGCATTAGATGGAACTCTTGTACATGCGGTTGTACCCGTTGATCAACAAACTCGTTACAGGGGAAGAGGAAAAGGAGAATGTTTTCAAAATGTAATAGGAATTTGTGATTTTGATATGATATTCACCTTTGTTTGGGCTGGATGGGAGGGTATAGCACATGATTCAAGAGTTTTGAAAGAAGTTGCATTCGATCCGACTTTTGGATTTCCATTTCCTCCACCAGGTTTGTAATCTTTACATAACTTTTATTATCTATCTTCTTTATATAATATGTGTCACACTCATTCGCAGATAAATATTACCTTTGTGATGCCGCATATACAAACACTCGTGGGTTTATGGCTCCATACCGCAATACTAGGTATTGGTTAGCCGATTTTCGAAGAGGCAGACCTTTAACTAGAGAAGAAAGGTTCAATTATGCTCATGCACAACTTAGAAATGTTATTGAGCGTGCTTATGGTGTATTGAAGGCGAGATTCCCTATCTTAAAACAAATGGCTCCTTATCCTTTTACAGTGCAAAGAGACATAGTCATTGCTTGTGTCGCGGTCCATAATTTTATAAGGAAATACAATATAGAAGATGACTTATTTACAAATTTTGAGGAGAACACTATGGTTACTCCAGACGTCCAAGGTGGGGGAATTGATAGAGAAAACATACAAGGCATAGAATGGGGTCCAGAAGCCGTTCAATATATGCGTGATCAGATTGCAAATCAACTACTTTCACCTACTTTACATTAAATTATTGTGTTATTTTAAATTTCATTATGTTTTTATTTGGATATTAAATGATTTATGTTTAATTTACATTTTGTATGACAATTTTTATTTGGATTTTTAAATGACTTGTGTGTAATTCATATTGTGTATGACAATTTGTATGTTTTTATAATTATTCAGCAAGTTCATCCATCACTATATACAGCAGCAGGGTAAAATGGTCATTTTTCATCAGTCAGCACATTCAGTCAGATGTACAATCAAACAATATGATTTCTTACTCAGTCATAAATTCTTACCCAAACATACATTTCTCAGTCAGCACTTTCTCAGTCAGCATGTATCAAACGGAGCCATAGTCTATCTTTCCCTCAACGAAATAAACACCAATGGGTATAACATTTGTAGGAAGGATACAATCCTTTTAAATCATGTTGTTTCCCTTATTATAAAAGGAAACTCACTTATATATAACATTTTTCCACTATACACCAATTTATGCTTTTAAATTATTATACATTATTATACCGAGAAAAACAACAAGATTAAATTACTCGAATGGTCCTTGTGGTTTCGGTTATTCTGCGTGTTTGGTCTCTAATTCTTTTTCTTAACTCGGACTGTCTCTAACATGTAATTTTGTTGTGCGTTTGGTGCCTATCAGACCTAAAAATACTGTATTGCCCTTAATGATATACTTTTATTTTTTAGTTCTTTCTTTATTATTTTAATTATTACTCCCTCCGTCCCAAAATTATTGTCCACGGATAAAAAACACATAGATTAAGAAAAGCAATCATTAGTTGTCTTTTTGAGTAAAATGACCCTCTTGCCCTTTTCTAAAACCAATAGGAAATATGTATTTGTAATTATTCAAGTTTACTTTATTAAATGTTAGGGGTAATATGGTAAAAGTGTATATCTATTTTTGTTAGTGGACAATAATTTTGGGACAAACTAAAATAGTAAGGTGGACAATAATTTTGGGACGTGACCAATATTAAATAAAGTAACCTATTAATATATTTTTGGAAAAAGAACCCGCTCCACCTTAAATCCTCTTCTGGTTCCTCTTCTAGTTCCAATATGCTACTCAAGTTTGAAACCAAAATCGAATCAACAACTCAAAGCCAAAGCCAAATTCAAATCCAACTTGCATTTCAAGCTCAAATCCAAAACTAAAATCCCAACTCTGACCACCATCACACACCTTTTCTGAAATATTTAAGAGCCTAATAAGAACTGTTGGTTCTCCGGGTTTCTTCCTTAAGATCAAACAAAATTAAAACTAAAATGAAACCTAAACAAACCTATTGAAATCAAATCCATCTTGGCCGAGTAGAGACAATGGCCCAGAGATGATTGCATATCCGTTGAAGAGTCATTGAAATTTTCAAAAAACTGAAAAGGATTTCAGCCAAACTCTGTAAAATTCGAACCTACAAATTGAATGTCCGACGAAAGAAATTGGATCTGAAAATAAGCACTGGCATGGGTGGTGGACGTTGGTGGCTGGAGCAGCGAATGCAGGTGCCGTCGATTTGTACTCTTCGATTGTGCACTCGTCGATTTTGTAGTGGTGGAACCCTAACACCACCAATGTTGTTCCAGAGGTCGACGATGGTCCAAGCAACAGTGGTAGGTCGCTAATACGACCGCCGATGTAGGGATTAAGTAGTGGTGTGGTGCGCTAAGCAGCGTTCTCCGACGGCGGAGACCTACAGTCTTCGGTATCACCCCTTCTTTCTCGATCGAGGTTCAAGAAGGCGATGGTGTTGATGGAGGAGAGGTCGTTATGCTCGTCGGTGAGAGAAAATGAGGTGGTTAAGAGCTTTCCTAGCGAAGATAGGGGAGGGGAGGAGGGAGAAAGGAGTGTGTAACAGGGGTAGCAGATGGTCGATGATGTCGACTAAGAGACATGGGAAGGGTGAAAGTAATGGTGGGACCGATACAATCTTTTTACTTTATTTATTAATAATTAAAATAATAGAAAAAAAATTTAAAAATAAAAATATACCATGCAATACAGTCTTTTTAGGTCTGACAGGGACCAAATGCGCAACAAAATTACGTCTTACAGACCGTCCGAGTTAAGAAAAAATTAGGGCCAAGCGTGCAGATTACCCCAAACCACAGGGACCATTCTTGTATGTAGCACCCAAGTCGTTAGGTATAAGTTCTTATTTCATTCTATGTTTAATTCATCTAAAAGGTGTTAGAGGATTGTAAGTATGTTAGGCGTACACTAGGTACGCACAACATACTCTTTGTATGCGCATCATCGGGGGATCCGCAGTGTATGCTGGGTGTACCTATGCGTACGCTGGGCATAATCGACGCACGGGCAAACCCTAATTTTTAGGCTTTGCACCCTATTTAAAGACTTTAAGTCCCTCATGTCCTCTTCCCTCTCATCCTCCACTGCCCTTTTAGTGCAAATCTCGAACCCTAACTTCCTTGTGCGCATTTTGAGCTCGCCTTGATTGTTTGTATTGTTCTTTGGTGCAAAAGGAAGTTTGGGAGGAAGCAAAAGAGAAGAAGGAGCTTGTAGATCCAGAGATTTTGCAGCATTTCCAGCCTAGTGAAGGTATAAAGTTTGAACCTTGATCATTACAAGCTTAGATCCAGGTTTAGGGTAGAATGTGACATCTTTTGGTCCCATAGTTTGGTTTCTATGAGCAACTCCAGGCCATTTGAGTTGTCCTTTTTGACTCTTGGGAGTGTTTTGAGTCATAAAAATCGAATCTTTGTGGTTAAGACTCAACCATGCAACTGTTAGTAACCATTCAAATGAGTTAATGGACTTAATTCATGGTTTGAGCCACATCCATGCATGCCAAAGCATAAAGTTTGTTACTTTATGGCTTAAGATAATACTTTGAACTTGGATCCAAGTTTTGGACGTAATTTATGAAGGGATTAAGACTTGGAAATGAGTATGGGCTGACTGGCTAGTACACTGGGCGTACTCTAGAGTATGTTGCGCGTACTGGGTCAGTGCCCTGATTCTGGTTGGTCATCAGCATACGTTGGGCGTAGGAGACATGTACACCACGCGTACACAGTCTATGAGCTTAGACAATTTTGGGTGTGAATCGTGTTGGGCCTTGTGGACTTGATTAAGTTGGGCCTCGGGCCCACCTGATGGTAACAGGTCATTTTTGGGCTTAAGGCGATGTTGGGGGTTCTTGGGCCATATTGGGCCTTAGAGACCTTGAAGTTGGGCTTGGATGCCTTTTTAGGTTTTTTATGGATTTGGGCCTTAAGGGGGAGAGAGGCCCATTGAGGCAAGAATAAACAAGCCCTTTTACCATATGTCAAGAACTAGGGTTTGGACCTTTAAGTTGGAGTTTGGCCAAATTTCTAATTAGTGTTTTATGCTTGTGCATTAGGAAGAGCTTTTCGCGAGTCATGTGCCGAGTGCGATTTGATATCTTCAGCTTGAGGTGAGTCTTCCTTCGCGGAATATCCATGGGTCGAAGGCACGAATTTCGGCCCACTATTTTATCATGTAGTCTAATGATTGTCTTTGTTACAATTGTCAATTATGTCTGTATTTGCTTGATGATTGTGTGACTTTTGTTATGATATTATGTGGTAGTAGTAGGGATGAAATAGACCCGATATTCGGTTGAAATAGAACGAAAGGGATTGCAAGCACCCAGATATGATTGTTAGTATCTGGTTGAAATAGGCCGAAGGGGTAGGCAAGCACCCAGATATGCTTGATAGTATTCGGTTGAAATAGACCGAAGGGGTATGCAAGCACACATTGATGCTTGGCAGTATGTTTGTCTAGTATGTGGTATTTTGGGGGAACTTACTAAGCTTTGTGCTTACAGTTTTTAGTTTATGTTTCAGTTACTTCCAGTTCGAAGGGGAAGTGCCTGCCAGATCGCACCGCATCACCCTATATGTTTCGCATTTAGTGATTTTGGGAATTTGTACTCTAATAACATGTCACTATAATAATCTTTTACCTATTTTGATATTAGTGTCGTGTGATTTGAATGAAACTAAAAATAAAATTTTATCTATATTTTTGGGATGTTATAAGTTGGTATCAGAGCCTTGGTTTGAGGGATTCAAGCATACTCCCGGGGTGTGTCGGGACTCAAATCGAGGGTTTGGTAGGTTTTTCAATAAAAGAAACATTTTAATTTAAATATTCTTAATAAAAGACAAGGGGTGTGATGCATGCAATTAGCCGAGCTCAAGTAGGTCTTCCCAAAATACCCATACAAATTATCTGTTTTATGTTACGATAAGAAAATTGCATGTTAGATTAGAGGCTAAGGATCTGCTTAGAATTTCATGATAGAATGCTAGGAGAGATGCCTTTATGTGCCTATCTGTATGAGCTTTTAAAATTTGCATGCTAGTATCAGATCAGTTACTTGTTAGAATGGCCTGTATAGGGTGTTTTGAGTTGAATTGTCTGATGCTCGAATGTTGCATACTTTGTGCTTTAGGAAATTCTATTGGTACTAGCTAACTAGTGGATGAATACATTGGGTTACATATTATTGTGATTGGATAATTTTAGAAGGATAAGTTTAACTCTATTGCGCAGCTCTTGTTTTGAGTCCAACCGTTGTAGTGTGGGACCTTTCATTCGAAGAATTATTTAGTACTAGTAGTATGTAATTGTGTTCATGCAGTAGTTAGGTAGTATTTGTAGAAGTTCCTCTAGAGATGATAGCAGAGAGGGGTGAGGAAGGGAGTCTTAGGGAGTCCCTATGAGATGCTTCGGTGCATAGGATGCCTTGTAGTTTGAGAAATGTATCAGTTGGGAGGAGTGACTTGAAGGAGTCAGGGTAGTCCTTGAGGAGGGTATAAAAAGGTGTGGAAGGTAGTATTGGGCCTGTACTACTGAATCACAAGATTTATACTCAAGACCAGGAAGACCATGATGAATCTAGGGAACTTAGGAGTGTGAACCTTCTTGTGTGTTTGCTAATCATTTATATGGTTGTGTTTCAGTATGGTGGTGACACGTCTCGGAGGAGGAGGTTCAGGATCTAGATATGGTTCGGGCAAGGGAACCTAACCGATTGATGATGGATTACGCGAGTTCATTGCATCAGAGATTACCAGAGGCATCCTTGATGCGACACCGGTGATGTTCGGGTCGATCAAGGAGGGTATCATGGAGCTGATGGAGGATTGCCTTCTGCTCTTCAGGGTCGATTTGTCCGCTGGCCAGTTGGGGGCCCACAGACTCTCCTTCAAGGATTTCAGTGGATGTGGGGCACCATATTTCTTCCGGATGAAGGACCCCATCGCAGCCAGGCGTTGGATAGCCGACATTGAGTGTGCTCAGATGACAAGCTTTTGCTTCGAGGGGTCGAAGGTCAGGTTCGTCACAGGATGTTTGAGGGAGCGAGCCCGAGATTAGTGGGTGGAGATCGACTACACTTTAGTAGCCCCAACCATTGAGGCCATGACCTGGCCAAATTATTTTACACGGTTTCGATTAGAGTTTGCACCGACTATTGAGGTGCAGCAGTTATCCAGGGAGTTTCTTGATATGAGGCATACGCCTGAGATTGTGGTGGAGATCACCGCCAAGTTCAGAGAGAGGGCATTGTTGGTACCCCAATATGCAGTTGATGAGGAGATGAGGAAGACCCGATACCATGATATGCTGAGATCTGACATCGGGGATTTCGTTAGTTTTTCTTCCTTCCTGACTCTACATGATATGATGCCAAGAGCGTGGGAGCGAGAGATTGATCTAGAGCACATAGGGAAGAGGAAGGCGGAGCCTGGGCATACAGTTGGGGTTTCAGCGAAGAAACCCAAGGGTTTCGACTTGTGACATCCCCAAAATCACGGCCAGAAAAAGACCGGTTTCATTTATGCTTTTAAATAAAATCAGAGTAATCCTTTGATTAAAAGAGTTGCGGAATTTGTTCCTAAAACAAAATATGATAAGAATTTATCAAAGCATTTCATAAAGAAATGTATTTTTCATTATATAACAAAATCTCGGGATGTCATGTTCCGATACAGACCAAAAGCATAACCAATACAAAATAGACCTTGCAACAATTACATATAACAACATGTCTATAATCCAAAAATATATTGACAATGTCATCGAACTTATGCCCTTGCGCCACTACCTGTAATACAAAGAAACTGAGTGGGTCAGGCTTAGGAGCCTGGTGAGCATATAGGGTTTTCGACCCACAAAAAAATAATTATATTTAATTTCACCAACCAACAATAACCCAATTACCCATTCCCGTTATCCTCGCTTTATGTCCCTAAAACAACAACTATTACAAGGGACCTAATCTAGGATTTTCATCGGGACGGACATTACTGCAAAGGGGCTTCCTTAGCAATAGATGTCCTAAAGGCAACCATGAGGGGGATAGAGTACACCGGTGAACACATCGTTCACAACACCTACAGGTTATGAGTCTGCTAGTGTTCCACTGGACTGTCTAGAATGAGTCTGTGGTCGTCATCCATACTCCGCTAGATGACTAGATTAACGACATCGAGGCCTACCATCATTTTATTTCTTCACACACCAACTGTCTACCCATGTTCTACCCAACATATTAGTAGATAAAATAAATACATTTATATACAGCTTAAAACCTGTACAAACATCCATTCAACAACTAGTTCAAATA